GATCATGCTTAGTGAGATAAACCAGAAGGAAAAGGAAAACTACCGGATGGTTTCACTCATGACAGGAGCATAAAGGTGAGAAAACAATAATAATAATGAACAGCTACATGCCAGAGACATTTTGTGGGGGTGGAGTGGGGAATGGGATCAAAAATGGGGGGTGGAGGGAGTGCACCGGACTATGGTGATGGCACAGGGGTGATTCGGTGACGGGAAGCCCACGGGGATTGCAACTGAGAGGGAAAAGGGTACAGAAAGGTGTAAAAATAAACTATTATATTATCAAAAAAGAAAAAGAAAGAAACAGCCTCTGCAGCTGCAGCGCGTTTGCTTTCCGCCGCTGGTGTGAACATCACCGCGGACTTCGCCCCCAGGTTTCGGGCGAGGCAACTGGAACGGAAGCCCAGAGCACGCGGCGTGTGTGCTTGGGGCCGGCGGCCAGCCCAACCCCGGGTGACATTTAGCGACGCGCCCTGGCACACCTGCGGGAGCCGCTACCCTCCGCGCGGGGCACGAGGCAGACCACCCTCACCGCCCGCCTCGAGAGCACCCGCAGCGCCTGGTCTCGCAGGGAGCGAGCTGGAGCCGCAGCCCATCCGGTGAGTCACGTGAGGGTCACGTGAGGGTCACGTGGCCTCGCCCCATGGACTGACGGGAGGCCCCCTGCCCAGAAGAGCAGAGGGAGGGCCGGGGTCTGCCCCACGCATGGTCAATGGGCTGTATTTACACCCAGATAGTTGCAGCATTCAAGAGCCAATCATCTCCTGATGGCCATCAGTCTGTCACAAATAACTAATGTGCCCCTCGCAAATTAGTAAATGAAATTTGCTAACTGAAACGACATGTGTTCTTCAAAGCACTCAGCAATGTCCCCCGCACGGCTGGCGAGTCCCCTGCAAGGTGCCTGCATGTTGAGTTGGCAGTGTTTTTACCTGGGCTCCTGTGAGTTACGATGAATCTCAAGCGAACAATGTTCGATGGCATCGGAATAGCTTGGAAATAACCAAGGTGGAGGACAGCAGCTCACAGCTAACGTTCCACACTCACAACTGCTTGGGGATGAAATCCGTTTACCTTCTAGGCAAGAACAGGTGGTGTTTTCTATGCGTGTGTAACAGTGTTGTTTATGTATCCATCACCCCACATTAAATTCTAGATCTAAAACAGGATTCTTTCACAGCAGCCGCAAATTTAATGGCCTCGAGTAAATGTTTACAGGCTCCCGAATCTGCTCCTTAGCCGAGTGCGGCACTGTGAAGAGTGCTGGGCCTGACATCACCGTCTCCGGCCTCCGTCTGTGCCCCTCGGCCGCTCAAATTCCTCGTGTGTGAACTGGAAGACCGCCTCTCCCTCAAGGCGCAGGAACAAAGCATGGTGCAGAAAGCCCTTGCCAGCAGCTGAACAGTCACACCCCACAAGGCAGAGAATGCGTCAGGCTGCGTCTGGTCAGCAGACAGGAAGCACCAGGCACCCGCCATGCCCCGGGGGGCCTGGGCAGCAGGCAGAGAGGGAGCCAGACCACGTTCTCCCACTTCAGATGCCAGCCTTGATGCCCCAAGCCAACGACAGATAAATCAGTCAACTCAGCTGGGCCACGTGATGGGCTTAGCCTCAGGAGGCGAGTGCCCGCTCGGCCAACGTGGCCACGGTCGGCCACAGTCAGCCACGGTCAGCCACGGTGAGCCGGCAGCAGGCCCTGGTCCCCCTGGAGAACCTTTCATAGGCTGACTGCAAGTCCAGACCGCTGACTTACAGACCCAGGCAGAGGGAGTCAACGGAAGGGGTGTGGGGGTTTCTTGAAAACAGGACTTAGAGTCCAGAAGAAATAAAAAATAACCCGGAGGCAGCAGATCACCACGCTAAGGGGTTCTCGCCAGGAACTGCAACCACTCAGGCGTAAGCGGGGGTGACAGTGCTCCGGGACCTGAGCTCGAGCTTCGCTTGGCAGGCTGGGTGCCTGCTCCCGAGCGATGGCAGGAAAGGCGCGGGGAGCTGGGAGACCCGACACACGCCAGAGTGGCGATGGGGCCCCGGAGGCCTCACTGAACCAGGGACAGGGAGTGTGGACACGGGAACCCTAAGACACAGACACGTCTGTGACAGACACGTCCACGCCAAGTGCTCCAAAACAAGATCCGGTGTCAGGTTTCCGCCTGCTGTTTTCTGTAAGTAGGTGAGAGTTCAGTGTTTTTCTTTGCCCTCGCTCCCAACTAGAATGTGGCTCCAGACAAGTAAACCGTCTGACTGAATGTTTAAGTTATACGGCCACAAGCGAGGGGATGGGCCACCCCACAAGGCACCAAGAAGGCACCTCCCCAAGGCTGGGAATGGCGAGCAGACCTGTCCTCGTGACCCCACAGGTGAAGGCTTCAGTGACACGCCTGCGCACGGCAGCAGGGTGGCCCGCACGGTGCTAGGAGCAGGGGACACGCCCTGTGGTGTGAAAAAAACTGGCAAGAGTCTTCTTAAATATTCAAATCACCAGTCACCCCAGGGCAGATGTAAGGGGTCCCACACAAAAGGGGCCCTCCTGTGGGACAAGCTGGAGGGACCCCCACTGTGGCTGGCATAGGATGAACCCAAGTGCTGAGGGGACAGAGCTCAGCTCAGAACCCCAAGTTCCAGGAGAGACTCATCTCCAAGAGACAGCCAGCAGGGTGCGTTCCCTGGCCCCCCGGAAAGCCCTCCTCAGGCCCACCGGGGAGCAGAGCACACCCTCCGCGTGCTAGGGGGGGGCCAGTCTTCACGCTAACCCCAGCCAGGGACTGAGTGGTCGGCCGGTAACTCAGGGGATTTGAACTTCACGCGTAACTTCATTTCCTGGACGTCAAAGCCTTCCCCTGAGCCACCTAAACAGAATCCCCGAGGACATTTTTGTTTTTAAGAGGAGAGCTCAACATTCTGTGGTCCCTCTTCCTAGGGACCACCCTGTTACAGTCTGACTTTGACTTTCTTCCTGAACCAACCGCTCAGCACTGTCCTGGGTGTCCCCACCCAGAAGCTGGGGCCCTCGGCAGGTGACACCCACTTTCTCAGGGCCAGGACCCTCCCCCATCCTGGGCCATGAGGTCACCAGAGGAGCAACTTTCCACCTTGCTCTGCATAAGCTTCAAAGCCCCCTGATACGGGTCCGCAAGGGGTGAGTCCTCCCGAAAGGCCCAGGCAGCTGGCCGGAGCAGGCCCCCCGCGGTCCGGGCCTGGCTGGCAGCGCAGGACCCAGAGTCCGGTGGACACCCCACCCAGTCTGCCCACTAATGACACCTCACAGGCGGCACTGTCCTGACTTTTATTACTGGTCAGGCTGCTGATGACGGCGGGGCCAGCACGATCGGAGAGGCGGCGGCAGCTCGCTCCTCCGGGCCTCAGAAGCGCACCTGGGCCCTGAAGTGCATCTGCTTCGTGGCGTTGTTCTTCATGCCCGTCCTCAGCATCCACTTGGACTTCATCCTCTGCACGTACTGCATGTCCCGCTCTCGCATCAGCGCTGCCCCTGCGTGGCGGGTGAGGGACAGGCAAGGTGTGACGCGGGGATCCCGTTCGCGTCTCCTACTTACTGCTGACCTGGGTCTCCACCGAGGGGCCCCGGGCCCCCGTGTGCACACCGGCGCTCCTGTCCTGCACACGTTTCTGTGTGGTTTCTGTCACCTGGAAAGGGCATGCAACCCCCGCTGATCTGGGGGGCAGGGCGGGCAGAGAGCGGGCAATCAGGCCAGACAAGGTCGGTGCCTGGAGACCCGAGGCTGGTCTGAGGCGCTCACACGTGGGCGCGGGGAGCCTCCCAGGCAGACACCCCAGACACTGGCACTGCTGAGGTTTCAGCACACGGAGATGTCAATGCCCACATCACTCCTCTGTTCGCTAGGGGACAATCGCTCCAAGGCGGGACCCAGCCTTTACTCTGGCAGGAGCGCTAGAACACCCGCCTGGTGACCCCTGGCCGCCAGGCAGAACCTGTGCTCTTCCTCCTCTTCCAAATGAGGAAACAGCCTGCAGAGAGGAACAGTCGCACCGGCTCAGTCCTGTGGTCAGTGCGCCAGAGAAGCCGCACTGGACTCCACAGCCCAGTCGTGCCAGGAGGACGCCGACCCCCTCCACAATGACGAAGCCGTTACTTTGGAAGTGCCCTTGCGGGGCGCCCGTGGCGCAGACCAGCTTCAGAGCTTCCAGCTCACACAAACGCATCAAGCGGGGCGGAGGCCTCACGCCCAGCAGGGAGCGCGCCCCCAGCAGCACAGCTGCAGCGGCCCGGGCTTGGGCGTGGACGTACCTGTGCCGCCGGTCCAGCCCAGGGCTCTGTACTGCCGCAGCACCCGGCCCACGGCCTTCTGGTTCCTAGCGACGGCCACGGCTCTGGACGCGCCGAAGCGCTGCCTGTAGTACCGCATCAGGGCGCGGTGACCCACGCGGGCACCTGTTTTTCCAAAGAGCAGTATTCAGACACGGGGGGCGGGGGGTCCACACAGAGATACACAGGAAAGGCTCCCCACATCAGGCCGACGCAGCGCTCTAGCCAGGAGCAGGTAGGCCGAAAGAAACAGTACTCTATCTGCTGGAGGAGGGCTGAATAGAGCCTTACAGAATTTGAGAGAGAGAGAGAGAGAAAGCCAAAGAAAACAGTGGTTTCAAAAGAGAGCACAGGCCTCCCTGGTGGCACCACGGGTCAGGACGCAGCACTGCAAGGTAGCTGCAGCCGCTTCGGTGCAAGTTCGGAGGTGACCACAGGGCGCGGCAGACCTCTCCTGACCGCCCGCTGCGCCCCTCAGCAGTGGACTCTGCCCATCTGTCTGCTCTGCTCCCCACTCTGTCGCTGGTGAAGCCTCCACCCCTCCCTGCACCTCTGGCCTGTACCCCAGTTCGGTATGCACAAATAAATAAATCTTTAAAGAGAGAGAGAGAACGGCAAGCCACTGTTGGATGAAAACTCAGCTCTTACTTAAATGCAACCTGCCTCGCGGAAATCCAGACCCGCGCCCAGCCCGGCCCTGTGCCTGTCGTTTGTGTCTTGGAGTCCCAGTCTGGGTCTGGGACGGCAATCACCCCCTCTGCTGACATCTCGGCGGCAGCGCTCTCCAAGGCAAGCGCCTTCCCCCCAGCAGGTGCCCCGGGGGGAGCGCCAGAGGCTCCTGGCCCAGAGCAGGAGGGGGAGAGCTGGCCTGCACAGCCAGACCTCCCAGACGGGATCACCTGGCCGAGACCGCGGGCCAAGGCGCAGAAGCCCTCCCTCGCTCTCCCAGACCACTAAGCCACACTGTCTGGACTGCTGGGCTCACGCCGGAGCCCTCACACTGCCCTGTGATGCTTTCAGAAGTGAATCAGCAGACGACTGGTCCTTCCCGGGGACAGTGGCCAGGCCCCGCATCTCTGCCCTGCAGGGGACAGAGAAGTTTGCTTGCTACGTGGACACAGAAGAGTAGTTATTTCTCGGTGTTGTATCTGTGATCAGACTCAAGAGGTGGCAAACAGAAGCTCCTGGTTCACAGACGACAAGGTCAGCGGACACCAACGGGGGAAACACTTTCCCTGCAGCTGACTGGCTGCGCAGAGTCAACAACTCCGGACCGCACGAGCGAGGACGCACCAGAAGCCTGGCCTTGTTTACTGTGACTTTCCAGTGTAACGGCAGGGCCAGAGGCTGCAGGTTTGCAACCTCGAAACCATGAAGTGATCATGCCAGTCAATTACATATGAGTCAATATATTTTTCTGCTTAAGCAACATTTGGAAATACATAATGTTGAAGGCTGGCTTTTTAAAAAGTCCTTGAAAAGACCCTCTCTCGTGGTGCAGGGGTTAAGTCAGCACTATGAAGCTATCGCCAGCCACTGCAGCACAAGTTCGAGCCCCAGCCAAGGAGCTGATCCACAGAGCACAGCAGATTTCTCCTGTCTCCCCGCTGCTCCCCTCAGTAGTGGATTTCAGTAGATCTGCCTGCTCTGCCCCGCACTCTGTCTCTGGGGAATCTCCTCAGCCCCGCACCTCTGACCTTGTATGCACAATTAAATCTTTAAAAACAAACAAAACACCCTTGGAAAGGTTTCATTACTCAGTGCCAAGGTTCCGACAGCCCGCGGGGGGGTGGGCAGCAGAAGCAGCTAGCGCCAGCTCAGTGACAGCGCCCGACAGGGAGCATCAAGTACAATGTGTGCAGAACAGCTCAACGGGAAGGCCCTCGTCAAGGAAAAGTCTTTTTAGACCAGAGTGACCATGCAATAAGTAGCAAGTGGGCGAGCCACGCCTGCTCCCTTCACGGCAGCAGAAGCTCCCGGAACTGTCCAGCTCTGCTGAGACAACAGCCTCACAATCGATGTCATCGGATAGTGGGCAAGAAAATATCTCCAACTCCCTCAGGAGATTAACTACGTCTCTCTCCCAAGTCCACCAGCAGCTTCGCCTGGCTAAATGGACGTGTCTTTTGCACTAACTTACTGCGCAGCAGCTGCAGAGCATTAAAGTGAAACCCAAGGAACCCCGCTGGCCTAGTCGGCAGAATGAATGCTCACAGCGCCCTCTACCGGCTCCGCCTGTCACTGGCTCTCAGATCACCTGACTGAGGTGCTGGCAGATTTAAGGAATAACCATCACCGACTTTGGAACAAATCAGAGCTGATTCTAGTAGCATAGTGGATGGAGCAGCACCAAGCTCTCCACATGTGAAACCTCAAACAGCTTCGTGCTACCACCATGGCAACCCAATCACACCACTGCAGTACTAAAGCCATGTCAGGCAGGTAAAATGGTTCAAAGAGACAAACAGGTGAGTCAGTCTGCCGCTGGACATCATCCACGCTTCCCCGGTGTTTATGCCAAGATCGCCCTCCTTCTTGGGTCATTACGAAACTCCCCAAACAAGGATGAAGACGCAGAGGAAGCAAATGGCCAACTGGCTGCCGGGTCGCCCTGCAGTCAGACAGAGGAAAGGCGGCCCGGCCTCTAGGAGACGGCCCAGGACAGGCAATGACTGTGTCCTCTGGTAGGAGAAGTCTCGAGTATGGGCAGTTCTTGATACGTGAGGAAAGCTATTCATTTGAACTATAAAAAGAAAGGGGCCCTCCCTGGTGGCACAAGGGCCACTTTGGTGTGAGTTTGATCCCCAGAACTGACCCACAGGGCGCAGCATACCTCCGGTCTCCCCACTGCCCCCTCAGCAATGGATTTCAGTAGATGCACCTGTTTGCTCCCCACTGTCTCTGGGGAGTCCTCTCACCCCCACACCTCTGGCCTGTACGACAGTTCTTTTATGCATAAATAAAAATAAAATCTTTTTTTTTTTTTAAAAAAGGTGACATTTTGCCATATTGCCATATGCAGAAAACTGAAAAGAACTACAGGGGATTACATGAGGTCAAGTAAGCCAGAAGAGCAAATATGGGATTTCATCTAGACGTTACATACAAGGCAGTAAATTAAAAAAAAAAAAAAAAAAAAAAAACTGGCAGTGACCAGAGATCCCAGGTTACTTACTGAGAGGAAGAAGGTGGGAGATGGGAACAGGGGTGCAAGAATGACGGTTTTTAAAAATAAAAAGCTCATGCTGGAGGGAGGGAGGAAGCACAAACTGTGCTTTGTTGCCATTTAAACCAACCCTGTGATGACGCCTCAGCATTCAGCCGTCTGCGAAGCCCCACGAGGGCAGCGAATGCTGTATGTTTACTTAGCTGCTCCTACTGCGACTCTTAATCTTCTCCCGGTCACAGACGCCTACTCAAACCACAGCCTCTCCCAGAGAAAGGCCTTTAGCACATGACACACACACAACGTGCGTGGCCATGCAGGCCACACCGCTGACGTGAAGGAGCCATGACCTGTACCCAGGAATTCACAGACTGCACAGGCAAAACCGCGCCAGCCCAGTGAAGAACACTCGGGTGAGGCCTCCCTGGCGGCACCGAGGTCGTTCCCAATCTGCCTCAGGGAACGGCGACAGGCAGCCAACAACAAACCTGCCGTTTCGCCACTTCTATGTCCAAATACTTTAAACTACGTGACTCGGCAAAAGGACCAGCAGCTGCGAGCAAGGAAAACCAGACTGAAAGCCAGAGAAGTTGGCCCTTCGAGCTAAAGGCAGGCCACGTTCTCCCTGAAACACAGGATGCGCCGCCGAGCCCCAGGACACGTGGTGACCCGGGAGAGCTCTGCTCTCCTTTCCTGCACCACGGTGGCCATGGGAATCAACCCTGCCTTTTAAAAGTCACCTTCGGGCCCTGCCTGGTGGCACAGCGGGTTTAAGCATGGCACTGAGAAGCTAAAGCCACTTCAGCATGAGTTCGATCCCCGCCTGCCCCGGAGGTGACCCCCATGGTGAGGCAGACCTCTCCTGACCCGCCCGCTGCTCCCCTCAGCAATGTACTTCTCAGTCGGCCTGTTCTGCTCCCTGCTCTGTCTCTGGTGAACCCTCTCACCGCCCCTGCACCTCTGGCCTGTATTCCGGTTCTGTGAGCATAAATAAATAAATCTTAAAAAAAAAAAAAAAAAGTCACCTTCACCTTCTCGATTCCTCATAAGTAGCCTCACAATCGATGTCATCGGATAGTGGGCAAGAAAATATCTCCAACTCCCTCAGGAGATTAACTACGTCTCTCTCCCAAGTCCACCAGCAGC